TGGGTCGCGGGGTCGGCGGCGGGGTCGGCGAGCGACAGGAAGAAGGCGTTGAGGTCGTCGGTCTGCCCGCGCTCGTACTTCTCAAACATCTGTCTCAGCGACAACGCCATATGACAGCGGCGGGGAGGCGAGACGCGGTGACGGAGGGGCCGGCGACGAGATTCAGTCCTGTAGTAGAGAAAATATTAATAATCACGTATGAATAGTACTACTACTAGTTAGTAGTACTTAGTGATGGGAATCGGCTGGAATTTCATAATCGATTATCGGTTTCCCTTAACCGATCGATAATCGATTATAATCGGATAATCGGTTAATAATAGCATAGATTTAATTTAATCTTACTTTGTAGATATACAATTATACATAGCATTCAATATTATCATGTTTTATGATCATGTATTAAATCTGTGAAGGTTGCTGTATGTATATCAATGTCTGTTCCTATACAGTATTTAATCAAGTTAAAAAGAAATGGTTTAAATGCCGTTATTAAAACATTAAAAGTTTTAAACAAACATGATCAAGCAGTCCTTGTGTTTTGGAAAAGGCAGGCGAGTGAAAAATCACACACCTTGGCTTGCCGAGGTGTGTGATTTGCATCCGAGTGCCCACAGGGCACGAGGCAAACTAGGGGGGTTCGGGGGCAATATGGTGTGATGCGATGTATGCGTGCTATACGGTAGTTTGGGTCTCGTATGCGAGAGAACTTTGCGCATAAAAATATAATTCGAGTCTTCTGCATATAAAGCGAATGCGTGTCGTTTCTGTTCTAGTTTCTGTTTGTGTTCGTGGAACGGTTAGCATTCGTCATTGGTCCAGTGCATTGTAGCGCGCGGTGGAATAAATCGATATCATAACACACGCAGCTCTGGATACGTACGTATCAGTGTTCGAAATATAGTTAATGACCCTGCGACCTTGACCTTGGATGGAAATGGCTCAGAATCAATAGGGTTCTCTCGCCCCATAAGATGCAGCTGTGGACCAAGTTTGAAGTTTCTACCTCTTACGGTTGCAAAGATATCGAGAGGACAGACACACAGACATACACACCGCCACATACACGAAACCGAAACGGCCACGAAAACAATTTCCTCCGCGGCACTGCGTGCGGAGGATAACTACTTGTACTTCGTCGAGTAGACGTGTTCGTCTGGTTAGCCTGTATTGTGTTACAGTTCCTGAGTATCGTGAGTACAGTTCCTTGTTTGTTTATTTTGGTATTTCCGATAATCGATTATTTGTTTTCATAATCGATTATCGAATTTGAGACTATAATCGATCGATTTTCGATTATAATCGATCCATTTTTTCGATTATAATCGATCATCGGGACATCACTAGTAGTACTAGTATCAGTGATTCAAGGTTGTGAATGTGACTCAGTGAGTACTCACCCATAACCCTGCCCGTATAGCCCCGTTAATGTCGTCACAGTTGTGGTAGCATTACCAGGGATACAGTGCTGGTAGTAGTAGTAGTAGTTTGCAGACAACTCGTTTTAGTTAGTTCAACTAGTTTTATGAAGGACGTGTCTAAACAACCGGATCCGGTTTCGGTATCCTGAAAACTAAACAACCGGCGCTCTTCTCTGATTGGCTAATTTTGTCACTATTTTATTTTTTATTATTTTTGGCCAATTTTATTTTATTTTAGAATGAGGGTTAGGGTTAGGGTTAGGGTCTATATCTCTAACCTTCAAGTTGGTTTCAGTGGCTCAACGGTAGAGCTTTCGCTTCGTGATAGTAAGGGACCGTGTTTGAACCCCATAAGATGTTTTTATTTTCCTCTGCTTTCTCCATTTCTTTGACTTTGTATTTTAATTGTTCCGTATTCATTTATTTGTTCTGTAACTTTTGTTTATGTTCGGAATTAAATATATTTCTTCATGTTTTGCATTAAAAATTGTCCTGTTATGTTCGGAAACTGACCAATCAGAGAAGAGAGCCGGTTGTTTAGTTTTCAGGCCTCCGAAACCGGGTCCAGTCGCTTAGACACTATACCTTTTATGAATGATACTGATGCTCATAGGGTCTATGTCGCCCAGGGTACTGCCGGAACGTACCCTGGTCACTATTTGATATGGTTAGGGTTAGGGTTAGGTAGTAGGGCTCATAGGGTCTATGTCCCCCAGGGTACTGCCGGAACGTACCCGCACTATTGGATATGGTTAGGAGTAGGATAGGGTTAGGTATAGGTATGGAAGTAGGCGACTCCCTAGACTGCATTAGTGAGTAGCGAGGTACGGTCCGGAATATAGATAGTAGCGTAATTACCGGACGGCGAACCGGCCAGGGTACCCTTGCCTGCGCAGTACCCGGGGACATCGACCTCAGGGCCTGCCAACTCTCAGCAGCATTGACGCGTGAGACTCACCATGTTTGACGCAAATCTCAGCGCTCGGACGCTGAGCTTACAATATCTCAACCACAGCAAAATAATGCTGAAGATATCCTCAGCGCCATGAATATCTCTTCATGAATAAAACGCTGAATATCTCACGCACGAGCAAAAAAAAATCTTACAATATCTCGAAATACAGTCACTAGTAAGCACCAAAAATTCCATCACGAATTGACGTATTAAATGCAAAGCTTGCGATCCGTACGTGGGAGGGGGAACCCCTCCGAAAAGAATAAGAAAAACACGCCCACCCGCCCCCAGCTTCGTCGCTTCGCTCCCTCGCATCTGACTCTCACCTATCACCCAATGTTGGTAGCCCGACCAGGCTGTGCGATGGATTGTCTATACGGTATTCTAACCCTAGCAATACCGTTTATTGGAGCTACCAATGTTGGGCGCCCTGAGACCCTCTCAGCGAGAGTAGGCGTAGGCGACTCCCTAGACTCGTTAGTCGAGTAGGCGAGGCACGGTCCGGCATATAATATAGTACCAGGGTACGTTCCGGTATACTGGACCGTACCCAGGCCAGGGTACGTTCCGGTAGTACCCCGGGGGACATAGACCCTCACAGCGATACTGAGTGATACTGTGAATGTGATAGATAATTGCGCAAAATATCTGAGACAGTGGTGGTCACTGAATAACTACTGAATTAACTGTAGCGCACGCACTCGCCTTACGTACACACCATAGATCGGTCAGTAATGCCACGAGCCTATGAAGTTCCTTTATAGATTCCTAAAGTCAGAAAAGTCCGAAGAGATTCCGAAAAGTCAGAAAGCCTAAAGATAAACGAAACGTGTTCCAACCTGCGATGTATGAATGACTGCGACCGCCACCTACCGGTGAAAAACAATATCAAATTAATTGTTTACAACTGAACAGATCACCGGATGAACAGGCAACAGGCGCCACCTACTTCGCTTTCTTACCATAACTACCATTTAGAAAACAAGCTTTCCTAAAATAATAACGCTAGAACTAGTAATAGTAGTATAAGCTATATTAATGCTGCCAATATAATGTAGACTGAACTTCTAAGACGTACACTGAACAGTTTAGTATATTCGTCTAGAAGTGTTTGCAAAATAGTAGGTACGTTCATGTGTGGGACAGTGAAACCACACCAGAGATTCCTGATATCTGCCTGCAACATGTATGATCTGCGACGTGCAATAAACTTTATTTGAATTTGATAGCCTTTTGTTTCGCTAAAGGAAACCCGAGACCAAACAATATATTTGCCTGATTTCATATTTGCTGGCCTGGGGATTGCCTATAACCTAGGCTATAGTCCTTCATCAACATGGGAGTCCTTTTATCAAGATTCAGAGTAAGTAAAAACAATGCCAATGGCAATGGTATGCTTCTTAGTAGTAGAACTAGTATTCGTACTGTGTCAGTGTGTGTCCTTTCACAACATAGTCATAGCCCATCACGTCAGAAGCAGAATTACATGTAGTATATATGTACTAGCTGGCCTGTTGGGAAGTGACTATACGCACGGCGGCCGTGTGGATAAGATTCAATATGGCTATACGCACGGCGGCCGTGTGGATAAGATTCAATATGGCTATACGCACGGCGGCCGAATGAGGAAGGGTAGAAGGGAGAAGCGGTGGAGAAGGAGGAAGGGGAGAAGTGGTGGAAGGAGGAAGGATGCGATCGAGAAGCTGGCTGGAGAAGGAGAAAGGGAGAAGGCAAGTAAGGTTGTGAGGAAGAGAGGATAAGCTGGGTGAAAGAAGGAGGAGGGAGAGGGAGGTGTTGGAGAAAGAGGAGGGGGAGAAGTTTGGGAGAAGGCAGGAAGAGGAGAAGGAGGGGGGAATGGAGGCGGTGGAGGAGGAGGGGAGAAGGGAGAAGCTGGTGGAGGAGAAGGGGGAAAGCTGGTGGAGAAAGGAGGAGGGGGAGAAAAGGAGTCGGGAGGAGGGGGAGAATCCTGGGAGGAAGGAGGAGGGGTGAGAAGGCAGAAGATGTTTGGAGTAGGGGAGAAGGGAGAACGTGGTGGAGGAGGGGAAAAGGAGAAGGTGGTGAAGGAGGGAGACGCTGGTGGAGAAGGAGGAAGAGAGGGAGAAGAGAAGCTGGTGGAAGGTAAGAGGGGAGAAGGAGAAGGGGAGAAGGAAGGGAGAAAGGAAGACGGTGATGAGGAGGGGGAGAAGCTGGTGGCAGAAGGAGGAAGGGAGAAGAGAAGGTGGGAGAAGGAGGAGGGGAGAAGCTGGTGGCAGAAGGAGGGAGAAGCTGGTGAGAAGAGAAGGGGAGAAGGAGAAGGTGGTGGAGAAAGAGCGAGGATAAACAGGAGAAGCCTGGAGAAGAGGGAAGGGAGAAAGGAAGAAGGTGGTGGAATGAAGGAGGTAGGAAAAACACAGAAAATGAGAAGAAGAAAGAATAAAAAAAGCTGGTGGAGAAGGAGGAAGAGGAAAGGAGAGATGGTGCTTGGAGAAGAGAGGGGAGAAGCTGTGGAGAAGGAAGAGGCGAGAAGAAGGCGGAAAGGGAGCGGGTGAAGGGAGGGGAGAAAGGGAGAACTGGTGGATGGAGGAGGGGAGAAAGCTGGTGGAGAAGGAGGAGGGGAGAAAGGCGAAGGTGGTGGAGGGAGGGGAGAACTGGGGAAGAAGGAGAGGGAGAAAGGAGAAGTGTGGAGAGGGGAGAAGGGAGAAAGGTGGTGGGAGGAAAAGGGAGAAGGTGGTGAAGGAAGGGAGAAGCGGTGAGAGCAGGAAGCAGAGAGAAGAGGGGAAGAAGGGAGGCTGGTGGAGGGGAGGGGGAGAAGGGACCGCGCCGAGAAGGAAAGTCGGAAATAGACTGAGATGTCCCCTGAATAATATATGAGCCTGAGAGGGCCGGGTGTGTGTGTTTTGGATGACGGTGTACAGATGGTGAGTCGAGGAGCGGGGGAGAGTAAGGGGAAGGTGGTGGAGGAGGAGGGGGAATAGCTGAGGTGAAGGAGTGAAGGAGGAAGGGGAGAAGGGTAGAAGGTAGGTCGGAGAAGCGAATGAGGGGAGAAGCTGGTTAGGAGGAAGAGGGGGAAGAAGGCTGGTGGAGTAAGGAGGAAGGGGAGATAGGAGAAGGTGTGATGAAGGAGGAAGGAGAAGCTGGTGACCGGAAGAGGAAGGCGGAGAAAGGAAGAAGGTGGTGGAGAAAGTGAGGAGGAGACCAAGCTGGTGGAGAAGGAGGAGGGTGAGAAGGGAGAAGGTGTATGGGAAGGAAGGGAGGGGAGAGAGAGAGGAAGGGAGGAAGCGGTGGAGGGAAGGAGGAGGAGAGAAAGGAGAAGGGGTGAGAGGGGGAGAAGCTGGTAGAGAGGAGAGGGAGATAGGGCTGGTGGAGAAGAGGGGGGGGAGCACTGGTGGAGGAAGTTGAGGGAGAAGCGAGAAGCTGGGGATTGAATAAGAGAGGGGGGAAGGGAGAAGGTAGTGAGAGGATGGATGAGGGGAGATGACTGGTGTGAAAAAAGAAAGGATGGGCGAGGGGAGAAGGTGGTGGAGGAGGGGAGAACGCTGGTGGGGAGATAGGAGGAAGGAGAGAAGGAGGGGAGAAGGGAAGGGACTGGCTGAGGAGAGGAGAGAGGGGATAAGGAGAAGAAGGAGAGAAAGGAGAACTTGGTGGGAGAAGGAGGGGGAGAAAGGAGAAGGTGGTGGAGGAGGGACGAGAGCATGGTGGTGAAGGAGGGGAGGAAGGGGAAGAAGGGAGAATCTGAGTGAGAAGGAGGAGAGGGGAAAATGAGAGAGAAGTAGTGAAGAAGGAGGAGGGGAGAAAGCTGGTGGATGAGGAGGAGGGGAGAAAGGGAAAGGTGGTTGAGGAGGGGGAGGAGGGAGAGGGTGGTGGACGAGGGGGAGAAGGGATGAAGGTGTGTGGAGGAGGGTGAAGAAGCGGTGGATTGAGGGGGGGGAGGAAGGAGGAAGAGAGGAGGCGGGAGAAGGGAAGCGGTCGGATGAGGAAGAGAGACCGGGTAGAAGGACAAAAGAAGGGGAGGAGGAGGGGGAGAAGGAGAAG